GTGCATTCACCAGGCGATTCATCGGCTGAAAGAACAAGAACACAGTGCAACAGCCCTGTGCTGGGGGCCGCCCTGTGAGCCGCCGGCTCGTGCCCTGGTGCAGGTCTGCGGCTGGACGGAGCTGCTCGGTGGCACGCTGCCTGTCCACCCACATCTCGGCCCACTTGGACCCGACACATCACACGGCTCTGCGCACCAGGCTTGGGAAACTCTGAGATCACCAGTTCGGTGGTTCACAGAAAGGTCCAGTAAACTGGAGATAAAAGACGCAAGAGAAAAGCTGCCAAACATGTTTTGGTAAAGTGGGCGAAGTGCAGACAGCCGTGCCCGCCCTCTGCAGCCGGAGCGAACGGCACCTCGGGCCGGCTCTCAGAGCGAGCGCCTCATAAACGGGTCGGGACACGCCATTATCCCTCACTTTCTGTCTCCCGGCTCCAGCCAGTTCAACTTCCTACGTCGTCGTAAACTCCTCTAATTATTTCCTTTACAAACCCAAACCAGATGCGGCGTTTAAAGGCGAGATGCTACATTGCCTTTGGCGGGCCAGTGCCGTGGCTCTGTACCATTATGTTTACACGTTATTTCAGACCAGCTTAATGAGGAGTGGCTGCAGAATCAGATCCGCAGTTAAACACGCTTCCCACGTAACAGCTGTGTGATTTCCACGGCACTGGAAAGTAACCAGCAACCGGCGAAATCCATCTGCAATTATTACGACTGCCGTCCTCACCTGGAACTCTGCCTCCAGGGGCGATGGCTCGCTGGGCGGGTCTCTCTTCTTCATGTTAGACAGATAGGGATGCAGTTCGGACAAGTTCACCTCTGTTTCGCCAAACTGGTTGTACTCCACCAAGGCCTGATGGATCAAGATGTACTGTGCCTAGCATTTCAGGGGAAAAATACAGATAATTAGCTGACGGCTTAGTCCTGTGCATCGCAGTTCAATAAACTACATAGTCCCATATTTTTTCTCGTATCGGGACAACGTGTGGAAAAGAAAACTGATGTCTGTAACAGTGAAATGCTCTGTGAGCTGGTGCTCGCTCTTCTCTGGAATCTGAGCAAAAGCTCCACCTTAGACCTTTTCTTTCCCGAAAGAAAAAAAAATAGCTTGCTAAGTAGATTAGACATTTACTGTAAGGCATAGCTTTTATCTTATTCCTAAAAAATCAAAAACATTATCGATTGCTTCTTTCAGTGACTATTACTGAGTCAGGAAGCCAAATGAGTAATATATAACACCATAAGAAATTTTACATTATATCCGAGAGGAAAAAAACAAGTTGATAGAACATATTTTAAAAAGTTTTCTAGAACTTTCTAAAACAGAAAATTCTTTAAGAAATACATTATGCCAAACCCAGATTTAACAACTCCTAACTTTTTATCATATTCAAATTCACTATTTTAAAATAAAAAACACGTTTCTGATAAACGTGCAGCCTTTTCCTCCACAGCCTCCCTCTCCCGAGTTTCGGCGGTACCCTTCGACCCTATTTAGTTTTTCCACAGGAAATAAATTTTTTTTTTCTGGTCAACACTCTGCTTTTATACGTCTACACTAACCTCTGTGTATCTATAAATATTGCACATTTTCGTGTGTTTTCGTGAAAGCACGTGAATTGTGCCAGGCACGTCTCACTGGTGGCTTTTTTCACGGTCACTTTCGTCTGCGCATGTGACCGCGAGGCCAGGTCCAGACCTGGATGCGTCGCTGCGGCGTCGGCAGGGCGAGTGCCGCACGAGTCCGCACATGCGCATTTTGTCTGCCTGTCCCTAACGATGCGCATTTAGGGCCTTTGCGACTGTCCGTGCCCGTCCCGCCCCCGCCGGCTGCGGCGAACGTCCTTGCGCGCGCGCGCGCCGAGCGCCACCGCCAGGCCGCGGGCAGCTGTCCAAGTGCTGAACCTGAGCCACCTTTTTGCCGTAACAGGCGAGACACGTGCGCTCAGCGTCTCCGAGTCACAGAGGCACGGGTGACACCGCGACCTTGTACAGGGGTGCACGGCGAGACGTGAACCCCGAAAGTCTAGCTCTGCAAAGCAGGCTCTGGGCCGCGATGCTGTCCGCTGTCCCTGGGCTGATTGTACGAGATGCTGCCCGATTGGTTTTCTGCGTGTTTATTTCCCGCACAGTCCCGTGCGTGACCATGGAATTTCTCTGTTTTTAAATGTATTTCACGGCCCCCCTCCCCCCGCGCAGCACCTTCAGCCACCAACGGAAGGTGCTCTGACTGTGCTCGGCGCTCGCCGCCTGCTTCGGGTTGCGGGGAATTAAGAGGACCTGCCCCCCACGGCGGGCGCGGGCCGTACCTCCACCTGCACCATGAGGCACCGCTGCCGCCGGAGCTTGACCACGTAGCCGTACACGTCCGCGCGGCCCTCGGCCTCCAGGCCCTCCAGCATGGCATCGATGCCGATGTAGGTGCCCGTGCGGCCCACGCCCGCGCTGGCGACACAGACACGCGCGTGAGCCGCGACCGCGGCGGGAGAGGGGGAGCCCGGGGAGCAGGGGGATCCCCAGGGAGCAGAGGGACCCGCGAGGGAGCAGGGGGACCCGCAGGGGAGCAGAGGGACCCACGGGGGAGCAGAGGGACCCGCAGGGGAGCAGAAGGACCCGTGGGGGAGCAGCGGGGACCCATAACGGAGCAGGGGGACCCACGGGGGAATAAGGGGTCCCATGGGGGAGCAGGGGCCCCCCAGGGAGCAGGGGACCCTTGGGGAGCACAGGGACCACGGGGGAGCAGGAGGACCTTGGGCGAGCGGGGAGACTCACGGGGGAGCAGAGGAATCTGCGGGGGGAGCAGGGGGACCCCTGGGGAGCAGGGGGTACCCCCGGCATAGCACAGAGACCACGGAGGAGCAGGAGGACCTCAGGGAACGGGGGACCCGTGGGGGAGCAGAGAGACCGCGGAGGAGCAGGGGCACCCTGGGGAGCGGGCGGAGGGTTAGGGGCCCCCTCCCAGCCTGTCCTCTGACGCCAGCGCCCACTGGGGGGACGTCCCCGCCGGCCAGCGGCCTCACCTGCAGTGCACCACGATGGGGCCGCTGAAGAAGGTGCTGAAGGCGTTCACCCTCCTCCGCAGCTTGAGCAGCAGGTGCGGGTCCTCGGGCACCCCGTGGTCCGGCCAGCTGGTGAACTGGATGTGAGCCACCTCTCTCCCGGTCACTTTTTCTTTTTTCTAGCCGAGAGATCATATTTGCCTTGAGCTGATTTTGTCGCTGGCGTCGTTCAAAGCAAATGACCCGACGTAAATGAGTGGAAGCGGGGAGGGGACCCGTGCAAACAACTCCTCGGGCGCTTCGTTAAGCCATGGTTACATGTTCCTTTTCAATTAATAACTGGTCGCTGAGATGTCATGCTGGACCAGCGTGCGCTAACCAGTGAGCAGCAAGGTAAGCGACGTAGGGTAAGTGTGGCGGGAACTGCTGGGGACTTTCTGGCCACTACGTTAGTTAAGAACAGTGACATCAGACTGGTCAGTGCAACCAGGTCGGCTCCGACCTCCACGTGTCAGCGTAGCTACAGACGGGGCCTTCGTGGCTTCGTCCATCATTTACCCCTGAACCATTGTTGGGATTGTCCCTCAGCTCTCTGTGCATGTGACAATGAGTGGTACCCTGGGAGGCCGGCATAAATACACGACTGGTGATTTTTACTGCAGAAAATGTATCTGGATCATAAATACCATTCAGGTTACTGAAAACCTTCCAATAAGTGAAATTTAGAGAACTTTTCAGCCTTATCTGTAAAGACTTCCATTTTTAAACAGCTTTATTAAGATGTTTTTCACATCTTAATACCATAGAATTCATTCAAAGTGTAAAAATTTTTATTACACTCACAGAATTGTAAAATCATCACCGCTGTTTGATTACCAAACATTTTCATTACCCCCACCCCCCAAATGGACCTCCCCGATTAGCTGTCACCCCAGGTCCTGGTCTAACTCCTCAGTCCCAATCAACCACTCACTGACCTTCGGTCTGCAGATTTGCCCGCTCTAAACGTTCCGTAAGCGGAATCGCACACACGTGTGGGGGACCCCGTCTCAGCTATTAGTTAGAACCCTGGAGTCTTCTTTTCCAAACTAAACATTTTATCTCTCCTACGTAATTGTCGCATTCGTACAAATATTCTTCCATAATGGCAACGAGCACGTTGAGAATACGGATCAGTTTATCGTTCATTCGATAATTTCGATCATTTACTCCACACGTTGCATGCGCTTTACTTTGTACTTCGAGGGTCGGCATTACAAACACTTTCGGGGGGGCGTGGACGAGCACTGCTTTCTCCAGGGACCTAACGGACCCTGTCGTCTCGCGGTGGAGTTCTAACCCAACTCTTCCTCCTGCCATTACAAATAACTCCTCTGTGTGTTCACTGCCCATAGTTGGGAAAATAACGACAATAATAATCTCTCCCGGGTATATTTTAATTGTTCGCATTTACCATCCCGCGGGGGCCTTTTTAGACAAGCCAGACAGAACCACACATCGTGCAAGGGAGCGGACTCACGTGCGCGACGATGAACTTCTGGACGATGTAGTCGGGGCACCGCTTGTGCTCACTGATCTTCACGGTGATGTCTCCGTACTCCCGGCTGGTCTCTTCCATCGACGGCCAGTATTCTGCACATTTGTTCTAGGTTTTAAACATCATGAATGATTCCAGTTTTTCATTTCAATGAACTTCTCATTAAATATTCTTTAAGCAACAACAACAAAAATCAAACAGAACGTAGTCATCTGAAATTCTCAAAACAGAAGTATATTCTTTAAGCACGTAGACACCTGAAGCTGGGCGCTTGAACTATCTTCCGTTTCCCATGAAGGCGTCTGAAGGGTCTCCCTCCCACCCAGGCTTAGCTGCACGTGCAAAATGGACGCGCTCGGTGGCGGGCAGAAAGGGTGTGGTGGCACAGGTTAAATTCAGGCTGGGGCATGCGGAGGCTCTCACGCTTCCTAAAGCCGCGTTACGTTAACTGCCGCCCATCTGCCCAAGGTCGCTCTTGTTTCAAGTACTCACGAGTACTTGTGAAATTGGCATGTAGACATGTACTAAATGTACGATACTGCGAAGAAACAGGCATCGAATTGAAGCCCAGCCGTTAAGCGGAAATGTTTACATTTTTTTCATCTAGACACATATGTATGTACAGGTGTATAGAGCGTAGTTTTCTACCTGGGTGAGGATTTTATTCAAACGTTATGCTCATTAATGCAGAGAGCTGCCGTTTTCGCCGTCAGGCACGGGCCCTTGTGACTTGGCGAGGTCGCGTATGCCAGCGTGCTCTCTTCCTACCCCCCACCTCCACCCCGGGGGGCCTCCGGGCCTCACCCTGTTCCCCTCTTCACAGCGAGTGACCATGACGATGACCGTGGCCTTCTGCTCCCAGATCATCCTCCAGAAGTCATCGACGCTTTCATCCCTGGGACCTAGGAGGTAAACAAATGCAGGCTAAGAAACGCCTGCTTAAAACTGCTAGGAAACAGCGTCTCGGAAGGCACAGGGGACAAGCCGATAAGTTACCTTGGGCAGCAATGTACTTCCTGGGCTCTTTGAAACCCTGTTTGAAAGACACAAAGGCGCATCATTTACCGAACAAACACTCGATTATCCCTTTACGTGCAAAATCGAGAGTTAGAGGATGTTGCTTCCGATCCACTGTTCTTCGGTTGTGGGTGTCCCCGAGCGTTTTCAAATTACTGACGCGTGATCAGGCGTGCGACTTTGCCAAACGTGTCAGTCAGCATTTATGAACAATATTCATAACTTCCACGTGTCTTCGCTGTGTACCCAAAACACCCTAAAAAACTAGCCTTCGTCCTCATTTGGGGTGGCAAAACAATTTACAAGAGTAATCCAGGCTTTTCTCTATTTGCGTCCTGCCAGACCTTACGGCACCATCCGCCACAATTTAAACCTCCTTACCGGCCACGTAGTTACCGTTGGGATTTTTTTACTCATTTTCTCTCAATAAATCATCCCGAGATTACCCCACATTTCTACCCAGACTCCGCCCTAGAGAAGAGATGTGATAACTTCCATTTATCTACGGTGCCTGCTTTCTCCACTCCTGGTGCCGAGGTAGGAGGGGACAGAGGCGGATAAGATGTGCTGATTTCTTCCAGATTATCTCACCATATTCCTTAAGTTCAGCTCAGCCGTCAGGGAGACAAAGAAATGACCTTTTACATGCAGGGGAGATGTGGCCACATGGGCCACAAAACTGCTTAATTTTGCTAACTCCGTGAAACTTCTCGGGACGTAGTTTTATTGACACGCGTGGATTCAGCGACATGATGGTGTAAATCGAGTGACTACGCTATGTCAAGTCCATACCTAGAGGCTGCACAGACGTACTCTCCGGGGCTCCCGGCCCTGCGGAGAAACGTCGGTGCGACTCGACGACATAGTCGTGTTTCAGTAGACAACAGAAGTTCTTTTTTTTCCAGAGACTATCTAAATTCTTCGCAACTTAAAAATTCAGAGGGAGCATGACTCTGCTGACGCTTCTAGCCTCCAGAGCTGAGAAAGAATAATTCCTGTTTCGAGACCCCCAGTCTGTGGTGGTAGTTTTTCGCATCGGCCCTAGGAAACTAATACGCTGTGTAAATAAATAAATATGTTCTTATAATTTGATCATTTCACCCACTCCACTAAAAGTTTATACATTCAGGTAGATATAAACAGACAAAAGACCCCCTCAAGTTCAGTTGCTTTTTCTTTAAGGAAAATTGCTGGCCTCTGCTCTGTATAATGAGGTATATATATAGCCAAGATAAACGTTTTAGGTGAATAAAGCACAGTTCAGAAAAGTGTGAATACTATGTTAACAGTTTCGGATGAGGGAGAGAATAACAAACGTGGATGTTTTCTTGTTTATATTTAAAGAAACACTGCGCGAATAGGAAACAACACAGAGTTCGCCTCTTCAAAGCGGTGGGGTCTTAGGCAGATGGTGGGTTGAGTGGGAGGAAGATTTTTTTCCAGTCTTTCTATAAATTTATACTGCTTAAAAATTTAAATTCGTGTGGTATATTACTTATTTAACAATTTATATCGTAAATTACATTTTTTAAAACTATTTTGGATAAACTCTCCGTATTTGATTTGTGATAAATACAATGGATGGATGATCTGAGTCCACGACAGCATCCACGCTGAAATGCAGCGGTACGTAATTAAAACACAGAGGTTCGGAGTCAGGCAGGCCTGCGTCTGAATCCCAATGCAAACCCTTACTAACTGAACACGGGCAAGGTGGCCTAACGGGCAGAACTCCCAGCCTCACCCCTGCAGCGTGGTGCACATGGCCACGGCTAATGTGACCTACACGGCAGATCATCTCGTCTAATATCCAGCACATACGGGGTACCGGAGTATTTTGATTCTTAGTATCGCTTTATTTGTAGAGGAAAATCCTGAATGAAACCTAGTACCCACAGCAAAAGAGAACTGTCTAGACTTGCAAATAATTGCGATTTTCTTGTTCGTGGCAGTGACATCCTGGGCTTACTTGAAACTCTTTCTAATAAGATTCCTAAAGTTTTGCCATGGCAGAGGAGGAGCTGAACGGAGCGCGTGCATGCGAGGAAGATGCAAGTGCTCAACGACAAATCGCTAAAGCTAGCAAGTCGCGCAGCCGCGAAGCTGCCCACTCACATCGATGTAGCTGGCGTTGATGTAGTTCGACCCTGCGTCCCCGTTGACTTCAGACAGCTCCACACGGTTGTAATCATCTGCTCGGAGAAAAGCGGCGGCAGGAAATGACGTGATGAATAAGCAGCAGCCTAAACGCCCGGGAAGCCCGCTCCCGGCCAGCACTTACAAGGGAGGATGTCGACGTAACGGTTCTTATTCTGGTTGAAGGGTTTTCGAGCCTCCTTGATGGAAAACTTGCTGAACACCCTGGGAATGCTCTGGAAGACACCGAACCCTCGTGTCACAGCATAGTCAAGAAAACGGTGTTCCCCTTGCCGGCTAGACGAGACACCCCGTAAAGTGCTTCCTTTATACATAGCCCTGAGCGAGCCGCACAGGGTCGTTGAATTTTTACATTGAGGAATTATGCCAAAAACACTTTTAAAAAAAGGAAGGATAGACTGCTTTGAGAATAAAGCCCATACTTTTAGAATAAATTGTCAGCGAGAGGAAATTTAGAATGAATTGCTTTGCCACTTTAAAACTCATTTAAAAACATACTGAAACGGTTACTGAGAGCACAGGGCCAAAATCAGCCAAATAGGTTTCATGACACAACATCGTAAACATATTACTACCATGAGGCATTATTTTCCAATATCGACTGGTTCCCTGACTAGGTGTCTCTCTTCTGATCTGTAAAGATCTGCTAATAATATCTGCTTGGACGATGCTGCAGTGTCATGCGGGGTAGATTATAAAGGCGGTGCGTTTAAATTGGATTTGTCCTGATAACCGAGTCAAATTTTTCCTCGCATATCAAGAAGAGCGCTCACTTGAAATTCAGCCAGAAACAGTCTTCCCTCATCAGCGATCTTTCTCTTATAAGTTTCCAGCAAAATATCTGCATGGATGGGCTCCACGTTCATCAGCTGCTTCTCGTCATCTTTAAACACAGTCAAGATTCAGGGTTAGTGTTACACCCACCTGCTGGGGGTTCCCACCGATGTCATTGAGTTGACATCTTGGATTTAATCCTCGTCGATTAAATAAATACATTGACGCTTCATCGTTATATCAACGGAGGAAGTCCAGGTTAGATAAAAATGTTAATTCTTATTTTAAATGAATGGATTCAAGTGTGTGTGGGGGTGGGGGGGTGGGGGGTGATAACTTGTCAGTCAAAAAACCAGAAAC